TTTAGCCGCTAGAGGGCGATTCTCGATTTTGAGCAATAATCTGAAAACCAATCCCTCCTATTCTTTTGTATGGAGTGCGAAGCCTGTTTTCCCGAGATTTAGAACCTCTCTCAACATTATGAGTAGTTCAGTGATAAATTAGTTCTAAAGATAAAATATATCAGCAATCTTGAAACAGACATTGAAAATTTAAAAGCAAGCTTGAAACAGGAAATTGATAGACTGACTAGGTAAAATGAAATGAAGGATAGCCATATCAATCGCCTCGACAGACGCACTCAAACATTGAATGATGAGGTTTTTGAGGCTGAAAATAACTTTTTATCTACCATTGATTTTCAAAAATTGGAGTTAAAACGTGTCAACTTGGAGCTGGCTGATGTAATAAAATCGAATCAGAGCCTCAGTAAAGAGCTAAACATCCACATATCAGCAATTAATAGCCGTTTGCACCGACCATTTAAAGGGAGGCTTAACGATAGGGATACCTTAAAATGACATTTTCACATGTAAAACCTCCCTTAAAATGGTCAGTGCATGCAAACGGCCATAAGACTCTTGAAAAAGACATCATGGCTTTAAATATGTAGCATCGTCACCAAAAGTAACTGGGACAGCATCACATTAGCTCTTGTCCTATTATATGAATTTTGTTGTCAAATATTTGTCAAACTATGCATTAAATGCATTGAAATAAATGACAGTATAATTAGTCCAGGAGATTATTATGCATTATTTGTGTCCCAGATACTTTTGGTGACGATGGTACCTCTTAAATCAGCTTTTCAAAAAAAAAAAATCATTTCTTTGTACGATGCTCAAGATTATGTATGTTGAAGAAATAAACGATCTGACTCTGGAAATTAATATGTCAAAGCCTAATATTATTATAACGGGTACCCCAATTGAAGTTCAGAATGTACTACAACGGACAGCAGATGCGACAAAAGTGAGTCTCGCAACAATTGCAAGTATTAAAATTCCCATGTGATTGGTCAATACTACTTCAGAAATGCGTTTGTAAATGCTAGTGGAAACATATCTTAAAATTCAATGGTAATCAACCACCAGTAGCTTTTTGTAGGTGATATCAACGACATAATCAATGGACATACGTTTTTTGCCACCAATATCACGTGACTTTAAAATGGTATTTGTCGGACTTTAACAGGGTGTCTTTTATTGACAGTTGTAATGAACTAAACCATTTCCAAATTCAAGCGGCAGTAAATGACAAACTGGTAATTTTCATTACAACCTATCAAATGTCCTCTGTGCATGCGCACCGGTCCACGTAGGGCATTTCAACCAATAGGATGGCTGGTGTTTGTTTACAATTTAGGTTTTTAATTGTCATTTACTGCCGCTTGGATTTGGAAATGGTGTAGGTAGAAAGCATACAAATTCTAAACTATCGGGACTAATTTCTAATGCTCTAAATTCTTCGAATAATAAAAGTTTGATTTACAAGTGAGAAAGTTAATTCTTTCTCCCCCGTCAATTAACATTTCAAGTGTTTTATCTGTTGAAGGTCTCGACACTTCTTGCTCCGAAACAGAATTGCCATCTGTCCTTAGTCTTACTTCTCCAAATCACACTAGCATAAATTTTCAATAGGAACTAGAGAACTTAGCCAACACATAAGTAATAATATAACAATTTTTTATCAGAATTGTAGAGGGGTTGAAACTAAGTTGGAAAAACTCAAGTTAAATAGGTATATTAAGTAATAATTAGGATATTATAGCAATCTCTGAAACTTGGTTAAATGAATCAATAAGTAATCGCGAATTTAGTTTTCAGAATAGAACCACATTTAGAAAAGATCGTGATAGATTATTAACTAATAAAACCCAAGGAGGAGGGATATTATTGCTTTTGAGAAATACTTTCATAGTCTCGGAAGTTAGGATTTTTGATGAGGATTAGCATACAATTGAATCATATACGAAATCATAATAACGTTATTTTAGGTCTACACAATAGAGGATTCTCTATTGCCAGTTGATATACATCATTTTTGCTTGAGTATCTGTTTGGAAACTAGGTCCCCTGTCGAACACTGTAAAGTTGTATCTACAACTGATTGGCTGATTTTAATTTAATGTATAGATTATTCGAAAACCAAAACTGAACCGTTTTGGATAGTATTGCTGATGTCAATGTGGCCATTAATTCTTTCTACAATATTATTAATAATATATTTCAGCAGAGTGTACCAAAATCTACACAAATAGACAAGAAATAACCTGTTTGGTTCAATAGAGAAATCATAAAACTGATGAAACAAAAACATAAATATTTTCTAAAATCTAAAAAAAAACAAATCTAATTTTTGGCGTCAAAAATATGTAACACTTAGAAGTAAAATAAAATACAGGATCAAACTAGCCTATAGCAATTATCTCCAGGAGGTTGAATCGGGCGGACAGAGTAATCCCAAGTTATTTTGATTATGCCTGAAGAAACTCAAGGATTCGCCAGATATTCTTCAGGAGATGGTCAATAATGATAAAACCTTTGTGGGCTCCTAGGAGGTGTTATAAATTATGACTATAAATTGAATGGTGCTAGTCTCAAACGAGTTGGCCAACAGAGAGATCTTGGAGTGGTATTTGATCCCAACTTGTCGTTCTCTGCTATCTAAAATTGAAAATGCACAGAGGGTGGCGGGATTTATGTCGAGAAACAAAAAACTTTCAAATAGAAGTGAGTCTACATCTTTTTGATAGTTTGGTGGTTCGCATTTTCGAATATGCAAGCATAATTTGGTCTCCACAATACAATGTGTGGCTTACATTGATAGAAAGGGTACTACGAAATTTCCTCAGATGCATGTATTTTCGAAAATTTGGTATTTATCCGCAAAGAGGTTGTGATTACGGCTACCTTCTGAGCATATTTGATAGGCTTTCCTTGAGCAAAAGGAGAGATAGAGGGTGATTTTGTGCACAATGTTCAATATTTTGAAGGGAATTATTGATTGTCCAGAAATGCTTACCGAGTTACTATTTGCAATAATTCGATTCAACTCGCGAAATCGGAATGTTTTTCATTTAGCATATTATCCTCGTACTAATCTGTACAAAAATTCTCACGTGTATAAAATGTGTCAGGTTTTTAATTTGTATACTTTCGATATTGACATTCACACAATAAATAATAAAACATTTAATTTACGTCGGTGTCATTATGACACATTTAGCATTGTCATTTGAATGTCATTAGGTCCTTCATAATAGCACTAGTGCGTCTAAGAATTCATAAAAACACCCAAATTATGAAATGAAAAATATACAAAAAGAAAGTAAGTTACCAGAAGGGCCTTTTCATTGATGCTGTCTCGATATTCGAAGGGATACACTCTCGAACTCAGAATTACCAATATTATTACATATTATTTTCCAATATAAAACTGAATTTATGGCGCAAAAACGGTATAATGCATACTTTGCAAAAACGATATAATGCACACTTTACGAAATATTCAATAAATTCTAAAAAAATCAAGATGGCGGCAATTTTTTTCCAAGTTCCACCAATGCGACAAAGTGCGATTTTTGAGGGATCAATTAGGACCCTATTAACTACCCATTTCCGCAGAGATCACTTTGTTACTAATTTTTTCTACCTCACCTGCTTAAACCTGCCTAGATTGACTACACTACGATTTCATGAGCTACGTTTGTAAATCACTCTTTATAGAATGAAACCCAAACAAACATCATAAACTACTTGCGTATATTATTTGCTGTAATCTCAATAATATTTGCTAGTGCAATAAATGAGAGGAGCTCTCTATCAATCAGGCTATTGAAATCTATCTAGCAAATTCCATTAGTTAGCTGTTGGTGATAGAGTTCAATTCCGATATTACGACATGATGTATTCAAATCATCCTGTTGCAATTGGCAATCCTCAGGACTAACATTTGATGTGGACACCTTAAATTATCCGCGAATAGGAGACATTGAGAGGACAAGAAACTTTTTCACAATCAAGAAGAAAATACGCTACTGCCTTTCATAGATTGTCTGGAGAAAATAATTTGAGTCTTATTGAAATAACGTAAAGAAACCCGTCGCCAGCTCTGGATCTAATCCATATATAGTGCACTTTGACTTATCTGATGCTAGCATTCCTGAAGGTTAATTCAGTTAGGGATTTCGATTTCTTGTTTGCTCCTGAGAAATTAAATTCTTTCGAATGGGTATTCCTTTGAGCATTTTTCAACAAAATTATCTTTGGAAGTTGAAATTATGACTCTCATGGAATAATAATAAATATGTAATCAAAAATTAAAAATATTATCCCAGGAAAATAATCATCATCGTTTTCTCCTCGGGTAATATTTTTATTATATTTTACCCAACCTAAAGAATTTTTTTAACATACAATTGACAGAATTGGACAGTTCTTAACATTAATATAATATTTTTCTTTTTACATTTTTTACAACATTTACAGTATGTTTTTTTTTTGTAGACCATTTTTAAAACCAACAATTTTAGGCACATTGTTTAGTTGAAGCTAACCAGACTGACTTGCATAAGGATTTTTTTAGGGTACCCAGTTCCATAATTATTCTTCATTAAAAATTTCTTAAAACACCATTGATAAATATATTTTTTTTTTTATGAAGGGGTTTTTGAGGAATTGGGTAATCTAAGTCATAACATTATTATTTTGATTCTTGCATAATGGCGTAACAAAAAATAGGTATCTTCAACATGTCAGCTAATCATTAGAACTGAGAGTTCCTTTTGCAAAATCAATTTACTCAAACACAAAGATTTTTTTTTTGCAACATTGCCATTAATGTAATATAGGTACCTACCTTTACAATAAATTTAAGAAACTTGGAATTTTTTTTGATTTACAAATAATTTGTTGATAAACTAAAAATAAATTATTGAATCATATACTTATCACAGTAAAAATTATTTAGATTTTTTATACAAATAACAAAATCCTCAAATCTTCAACTAGTGATATATTTTATTTGCTTTTAATCTCTAACAATTTTAATCAATTCCTTTCTATAATATAATATATATATTTTTAAAAATACTTTTACTAGATTTCATAAGTAATAGTCAGTTCCAATTTTCAATGTCTTATTCCGTATAGTCATCTAGTTCATGAATCGTTCCACTAGAATATCTTACTTTATTCACCACGACTGATTGTAATGATCTACTGCTATTTGACATTTATTATTATCTCTAAACATGTATTTCTTAATAATTGATACTTTTAATAATTATTTTTTACTTCTATCTTTTTTTTTTTCTGCTTAAACATTTATGTGTCAACTACTTATAAGTCTCTAGCCAGTGGTTCAAAAATATAGTATCGAAATTATGGAATTTTTTCTATTGTTTGTCCATAATAAGATGTTAATGAATTTGTGGTTGTTGGTTCAATTGCATGATGACAGAGAATATCCTGAAAAAGTTGGAATTTTTTTTTTTTTCATCAAACAAGAATAAAAAGAGTTTTGCGAGAAAAAGATAGAAATGGCGTACGTTGAGATAAGTATTGTTACTTATACGGGTTCGCAGATAAGTGAGACTACTTTTTCGAACTTCGAATAACATAAAAATCACACGAAATTTAAACTTTACACTCCGAACTACTCGAAATAAAGCTTATACGGCACGATTATTTTCGAACGTGATTATTTATCTCCTGACTTTACAGTTTACTGCACTTGTCGTACGTCAATCAGAACTGATCCTTACGCGGTGCGCACCGGGGCTTTTATAGTTATGTGCGTCCTTCTCTAACACGCTCGAATTTTCGTGATTCAGTTCATCTTGAAAATAGTTGAATTTTCTAACTTCTTTAACTGTAGTTGCAGGGGGCAATCAAAAAGTACGAGTAGCGGATTTATAACACTGCCCCCTGCCTCAAAGCTGTTCGCCCCGAACAGCTCATCCCAATCGCATCCAAGTCTATGCGCTCTTGCCCTTGTATGGAGCCAGCCTCTCCATGTAAACGACCTAGGGCTTGGCTTTGGGTGTAAGTTGTATCCTGTATACCAAGTCGTTGATTTTCTCAATGAACTTGTATGGTCCTTCCCATGGTCGTTGTTAAGTCCCTTTCTTCGCTGTGGCTGATACAACCAGATAGCATCGCCTTCATTAAAGGTGTTCAGTGACTGCCGTTGGTCTAGTCTCATCTTCATTCTGTCACTGGTCAGACGTAGCTTATTTCTATCGAAATCGTGTACCACTCTAAGTCTGTCCTGGAGATCAGCCACTTAAACTGGAAGTACAGCCTAGTCTTCATCGACTGGAGGCCTGCCAAACATTAAATCTACTGGAAGCTTCATTTCTCTTCTAGTCAACAGCTTAGATGGTATATAGCCGGTGGACTCATGCTGTGGGTGAAGTGCAGTCGTCCTCGTTTTTCTTACTCCCAGTAACCTCATCAGTTATTTCCATACCTCTGACTCAAAATTCCTTCCCTGATCGGTATGAAGTTCCATCGGTACCCCATGTCTGGATATGACGTTTTCCAGCAATGATTCCGCAACAGTAACTGCTTCCTGATTGGGTATGGGAACTACTTCTGGCCACTTTGAAAAATAGTCTATAGCAACCATGAGGTACTTATTCCCTGACTTCGTCAGGCAATTCTCTTCCAAGGGGAATTGGACAAGTACTGCTTCATTTCTCCACGGGATCGCGTCTTGGGTTATTTCTTAATAGCACAGAGATCGCATCTCTTGCACCACTCTTCAACATCCCTACGACAGTTAATCCTACCTATCTCTTACTCGAGCCAAGGTCCATTGACTCCAAAGTGTCCACTCCTACTACTGTGCAGTTCTTGAAGCACTCTGTCCACCATGGTCCATGGCACAACGGTCCGATATACTAGGTTTTTTTCCATCTAGACTCTCCCATTTAAGAGTGATTAAGTCATCTCGCAGGCACAACGAGTTCCACATTGCAGCCAGTATCCCTTCACCGTTTGACTCAAACTGGAAATTTCTTATCATTCAGGTCATTGTCCGTCTTGTAGCCAGCCACGCACCATTTTCAATTCCTTATCCATATTTTGTTGTTCTTCGAAGTCTTTTCTCGTAATGTCTTCATCAGTATTAGCGTCTTTGTCGGAATTCTTAAGCCTTATTTGTTGAACGACTCCAGAATTTTTGGTTGCCTCTTTTTCCTCTTGCCTTTGGCAGAATTTGCATGAGCTGTCAATACATGGTCTTCGTGATAGGCTGTCGGCGTTGGCATGACTCCTTCCGTTGCCATATTTGATTTGGAAGTCATAACTTTGTAATTTCTCTAACCGCGCGTTGGTAACCTCCGGGTTTTTAAAATTGAGCAGCTATTGCAATGCAGAATGGTTGGTCCTAACTAGGAACTTCCGGTCATAGAGAAAGCTGTGGTAATGTTCAATAGAAATTACTACTGCCAGAAGCTCCTTTCGAGTGACGCAATAATTCTTCTCTGCCTTTCCAATGGACTTATTGAAGTATCCAATTACTACTTCATCCCGTTTTGAATTTAGAAAAGAACAGCCCTATTCCACTTTGCGAAGCTTCGGTGTCTAACATAAATAGATCTTCATCCCTGGGATACGCCAGAACTCGAGCACTAGTCAATTTATTTTTCAGCTCCACGAAAGATCGTTGACATTCAGGTATACAATCAAAACGAGCGTTCTTTTCAGTAAGTTCATGTTAAGGCTTCGCAATCTTCCCAAAATCCTTGACAAACCGGCGGTAGTAACTGCAGAGTCCCAGGAAGCTTCTAACTTCATGTTTATTCTTTGGTCAGGGCCAATCTCGCACAGCTTGGACTTTATCTGAATCTGTCTCTATTCCTTTTGATGAAACGACATGACCGAGGAAGTCTACTTTTTCCTGAAATAGGACACACTTCTTGGGATTTAGTTGCAGATTGGCACTTCGAATCCTGGCAAAAACTTCCTTGAAATTCGACAGGTGTTCATCGAAATCTTTGCCAATCACCATGACATCATCCAGATATACTATGCACGTTTTCCAAGTCAGTCCTCGCAAAACTAACTCCATCAGTCTTTCAAAAGTGGCAGGTGCATTGCATAATCCAAACGGCATGACGTTAAATTGGTATAGGCCGTTTCTTGCAGTAAATGCGTTCTTCTCTTTATCCTCTGTATTGAGTTCCACCTGCCAATATCCACTTTTCAAGTTCACGGTTGAAAACCACTTGGATCCTAATACGGTGTTAAGGGTATCGTCAATCCGGGGTAACGGATAGCTGTCTTTCTTCGTAACGTCATTCAACCTTCTATAATCCATACAAAACCTGGTAGAACCATCCTTTTTCGTAACTAGTACTGTTGCTTTGCGAAAGGGAGTCTTCGTAGCGCTTGGCGAATGGGTGTAACACTTCCTGTGTTAATGCGATGATCTACCAAATGAGTACGTCCAATAATTTTATCTTGCACAAAAACACCAGCCTCTTTCTGCTCAAAGTCAATAGCTTTCTTCTTTTCTTGCTGGCCTAAGTGATTCCAGCTCTTTTCAAACTTCTCCAGAAGCTCTATTGATAAATGTGCTTCATTTGACACAGGCTCTTTCTTTGCGCATCTGACTACTCGTATAGTTGGTGTACATCTGCCAATGACGTCTCTTTTCTTCAATATTTCACGGTTTGTTGTTAGATTGGTCACTCTCACTGGAAAAACATTGTTGGAATTCACTAAGAAATATGCCACAAGTGTTCCATTCTGCATGCTTCCTGTTGGTTGCACGATCATGGTGTTCACGCCTTCTAGCTGTTTTCTAGGTGTGCCCGCACATTCGATTCACTATTTCCAGGAATTCGTGTATCTTCATCAACGATTATTCTAATTTGACAGTCCTTATTTGACGGTGATTAGAAGAGTATTTGCTTTCTCTCAACCTTTTATTTTTAAAGTCCACTGATAGGAAATCAAAGGTTTCTACGACATCCACTCCCAATATAAATTCATCCACTATGTCAGCAACTATCACTTCTACTTAAGTTCGGTGCTGCCTATTCCCAATGTCACGGTGGTCTCTCCAAAAACATTTATCAAATTTCCCTTAGCTGTTTCTAGCAGTGGTTCATTTCTCAACATCATTACAGAGTCCTTAGAAACCTTGTCGGGGCGAACCACTGATCTTGATGCCCCTGTGTCGATGGTCAAATCACATTTCTTGCCGTGGAGGGTGCCTGGTGCCTTGGGCAACGAGACTTTTACAATTCTTCTTGATAGAGAACAACATTACTTTGGGGGCTCGAGAATCGGTGGTCGCCAGCATTCGCCCCCTTATACTGGCGAGGTGGCGTTTCCCTGATGATATCTGGAATCACCTTCTTTCTCCGCTTCAGGATCTCCTCAGCGGGAACGTCGCCTACAGTTTCTGCTAATATGTCCTTCTTGGCCGCTGTTGTAGAATTTGATCTGTTTTCTGGCTCTTGGCTCTTTATCTAACTTCGCGCAGAATTCCTAAATCAGCGCCTCCAGTTTTAGAAACAAATCTGCGTCTGAGTTTGGGCGGTCCTCTGCTATCTTCATTTCCCTGATCTTGCTTCTTCGATTTAAAGAGGCATTTCTGACAGCTTCATATTCCAATGCATGGACAACGGTAATAATAATAATAATGCTTTATTGTCAGGAGAAAAATTTAACAAAATTTGTTGACAAAGCCTTAAAAATAATATACATCTATCTGTATACAAAATCAAAACAATACAAACAGAATACATAAGTAGGGACATCGAGTTCGAGGTATAAAATAAACTAAATTAGTCTAATAAATTATTAACAAAACAAATTACCTATAAACAATGCTCCAGTGTGTGGAATGCTCAAAATTATGTGTTCGCAAAAAAGTTATTTACCTTATAAAAGGCTCTTTCCAACAAATTTTCTGCAGTGTTTCAGATGGACCTTGGACTCTGCTTTTGAGTTGACTCTGGTAGACTTGACTGAGATACTTGTTTCCGTACCTAAGCTCTAAGGCTCCTACAACAGCTGCATAATCACTTCGTTTTGCCTCGGGAATATTTTGAAGAATTTCAAGCGCCTTTCCTCGTAGTGCAAGTACCAATGATGTTGCTTTTGTTTGTCATCCCATGCATTTGTACTAGCAGCGGCCTCAAACTGTCGTTTATACATGGACCATGAAGTTTCGCCGTCAAAAGTTGGTGGTTTGAATTGGCCGCGTACGATTGGGCTCACCGATACATCCATTTTGCTGGTACTTTCGTTGATATTGGGTTCTTCGCGAATTTTCTCCATTTTCTTCTCCAGTTTTCTATATTTTTTCTCGAATTCCTCTCGGATCGTCCCCATTTCGCCTTTTACTTTTTCTCGAACTATTTCTATTTCGCCTTTGACTTCTTGTTGAATGTTCTGGAACAACCCAGCGATCCTGTCAATATCCCCATGTCGTTGTCTTCCTGTTCTTGCAGAATTTTCTGGAGCCGGTCTTGCACTTGCTGTCGCTTGTCCTCTTCTTCCTGTTTTTCTTTAAGTCGCCTGTCTTCTTGTTCTTGAAGGATTTTTTGTAGTCGGTCGTGTTCTAGTTGTCGCTTGTCCTCTTGTTCTTGCAGGATTTTCTGTAGTCGGGCCTGTTCTTCTTGTTTTTCTTTTGCTCTTTTTTCGTCCGCATTTCATTTTGACAGTGTGTTTTCTCGTATTTACCATAAATGCAAGTTTCTTCACTCACTTATCCCACTTCTGACACCAATTGTTACTTAGACGGGTTCGCAGATAAGTGAGACTACTTTTTCGAACTTTAACGAATTTTATTAAACACAATAGAGAGTTCTTGTGCTATCCAAATTTCAAATACCGTAACGTTATTTGACAGTTCTTACGGTATCAGCGTTAGCGGAGCCCGTTACCTAACGGGACTTAGCGGATGCCTTACCGTAACGCTATGCTATGTCAAAATAATTTTAGGCTCCATTCACATCTCCCAGAACAGCAATTTCTAATAATTCCTCCATAAAACATCAAGGGAAAATTAATTAAACTCGGGAACCTTCAGAATAAATATGGCGATTTCCATTTGTCATCAGTGCCGCACTGAGTGTATCCGCATCTTTTTGTAAAAACATGTAAGGATAAGGATACATTTTTTTTGCCCTGATTCGACAGATGGAAAACGCTATTAAAGTTAGAAAATAAGCAAAAGAAAAGTTGGGTTAGCTGTCAAAATGTAAACAGAATAAGGGATTAGAGGATTTTATTTATTAGAGGAGCTTATACGGCACGATTATTTTCGAACGTGGTTATTTAGTTCCTGATTTTACAGTTTACTGCACTTGTCGTACATCAATCAGAACTGATCCTTACGCGGTGCGCACCGGGGCTTTTATAGTTATGTGCGTCCTTCTCTAACGCGCTTGAATTTTCGTGATTCAATTCATCTTGAAAATAGTTGAATTTTCTGGCTTCTTTAACTGTAGTTACAGGGGGCAATCAAAAAGTATGAGTGGCGGATTTATAATAGGATCTAACATGTATTTAATATTTTTTGGCAGAAACTTGTAAAAAATACTTTGAAAAGTAAGTACTATTGTTAAACATGACATACCCTTACAGATTGGGACAATTTTTGTCACTCTCGGAAAGCAGTGTTGTTTTTTGCGCAAATCTACGGGTAAAGGAAACGTGAAAAGACCAGTTTGGATAATCTACGCATATGGTTCCTAAGTTATCTATTCAATCAAATCCCGTTCTGTTGGTTTGATTTAATTCGTTATTTTTCCAAATATTCTTAAATAATTGCCCAGCTCTACTACCTCATATTTATTTCAACTGCAAAATAAACGAAAATGTGTTCAATAGAACTTCAATGAATTTATTATTCCTATACTTGTCAGCAATCATCCCTCGATTTCCAAATCCTCCAATGAGCGGTTGGAAAACTCAATTCTTTCAAAGGCATTGTGTGGTGGCGGCATTCATATCCCCTATTGACGGCCCCCATTGTTTTGCGGCCGGTTTCATTTCATTCAATTTGAAAATCCAAACAGCTTTGTTTGGTATGCAAAGTTGTCATTTCGATTAAAGAAGTGGTTGGGTTTTAAATGGGAAATTTATATTTTATTGTTTTGATACTCCCATTCAATGATTATGGAATAAACTGGAATTATTGGGAACTGGGTTTAAAAAATATAAAAATATACTAAATAATGGAATTTAATTAGCTGTCACCATGTTATTTTTTGTTTGTTTGTTATGTGTCTATATTCTAGTGGAACGATTCCAATCAAACTGTTCTTTCTCGTCGCTGTCCGTCGGCGAAAGTTCCAACTCGGGACTCGAAAATCGAGGTATTTCCATTCCCCCGTTTAAAGGATCCAGGGGCAGCACCAAGTCGGTGGAGCTGTCTGGCGACCATAGACTCAAATCGGTGTTTCCCTGAAATAATAGAAATCATTTTTTGAAAAGCGAAATAGCTGTTCATACCTACGTGATATTAGGCTTTATGGTTACGAGAACTATGAAGCCTTACAACACAGTGTATTTTTACAAAAAATGAAATATAAAGCTAAATAAATGACTAAAAAGCATGATAAAGTTTCCTCATTGGACACTATTCACTCTAAAAGAATTTTCTCTTGACGATCCATTAAAACTGCCAATAATAATTTATCAAAAAGCCGCTATAGTTTCGTATAAATTATTTAATAGTTATTTATGATATAAGTGTTAAAAGTACATTTTTAAGGCACGCATGTGAAAGTTTGCAGAATGAGCGAAGCGAATTCTGCAATTCACATAAGTGCCTTAAAAATACTTTTAACACAAATATCATACAATATTTTTTCTACAAACCGCAATAAAAAGCAATAACCAGTAACAAATTGGATTTTTAAATGAATAATAAATTGGAAGCATCTTTCCTACATAAAATTCTCGAATTTGACATTTGTCAAAAAATCCATACAACCAGCACCTTGTTTTACAGGTAACGAAATGTCTTTTCAGTTTCTTGAAAGTCTGTCGTGGTCAGGAATGCTTTTTGCTAAAAATGCAACAAAATACAGAAGAAAAAGAGGGTTGCATCGATCCTACGAAAAATATAGATGAGGCGGCCAATCGGGCTACCTCAGTTGTTCAAATTTCACCATTAATATCAATGTAAATCACTGAAAATACAAACTTTTTTTGACGTCCGCTCTCAAAATTTGATGTTTCACTTTTAACACTAGTGCTATAAAGACTTTATGGCACTAGTGCGATAAAGTAACATTTTTAATGCTTCGGGGCGGTGTTAAAAATTGCATTTTTAACACGTTTGTAGAAAAAAGTATTTTCAAAGCAAAGTGTCGTTGGACTTTAAGTACAACTATAGAATTCTCAGCTTTAAAAGCTTTTAAATGAAGAGCATCGCAGGGCATCTATATAAAACGCTTTCCTCCGTCCCGAGGAACGGTATGAAAGCGAAGGCCTGGCATAGTTTAAATTTTCATATAACCAAAAAAGGCAGGCAAGAATTTCAGTCACGTACCATTGATATATACGCGATGCGAAACTTTTATAAATTACTGTATGGGGACGTTTCGTTTATTTTTTTATTTTTTTGTATCAAGGAAGGAAAAGTGAACCAAATGAAGAAAATTTTGTAATAAAACAAACATTTGGTAGTAGTTTCTCATTTATGCAAATTCGGATACAGATTTTCGATTGTTTATGTAACATCTAAGAAGTGTTCATGCCCATTTTATTCCTGAATGTACAAGAATAAGAAAATTTACCAATACCACCTTCAGTTCAACAAAACCAAAATTTAAAGTGATAGCAAACCAAAATAATGAAGCTAACATTGCCGCCAAAGGAACTGCATTAAAAAATGGGGGATGAAATAAAGATAATTGATCAAAGATGAAGGAAATGAAAAGGGTCTCATTGTAAAAGAATTATATGTATGTCTTAAATCGAAAAAATTGATGGTCTGACTATAGTGAACAATAACTTCTATTAGAATCCCATGACTGGTTCAGAGTATATTTGAATTTATTCAATCCAACATATTGCTGTTTACTGAATAGAAATTTTAACACTAGGCTCTTTGGTCTTGTTGTCTACTTTCCTCCTGATCATTTCCTCTGCACACAGGGTGATGGCTGTAATTTCCGCCTGAAACACTGTATTATAGATGTTAGTCTTTGTCTGCTTTCTAATCCATCCAAAATTTTAGAAAAGCTGGTTAAAAATAAAGTTCTCTTACCTTGTGTGCAGACGACACTACAATTCTATGGCACTGTATTGACCAACAGTCTAAAACGAGCTATTCTCACTGATCTTCAGCAGCTCCAAATCTTGATTTGATTCTAATCTAGTGCTAAATTTATCTTAAACAAATATTTTGTCATTTAGATGCGATCTAGGATTCGCCAACGTCCACAATGTTTCTCTCGATTGTCGACCTGAGACAAAGTTTCTGGGATTTATTATTGACAGTGAATTGAGTTTAAAATCTCACTTTATCAGTCTTTCAAGGAAAATATCATCTGGGTGCAGTCAGAATAACGGCCATTAAACTGGGACGTTCCTTATCCAGTTCGGTCTGTTTTGTCTCGATTGAGTCAAGGCTTAAATATGGTATCTGTTTTTATTTGCTGGTTCTCTTCCCAGAATTTGTTGGACTCTGTTTTTATATTGAAGAAGCGGACTCTTAGGTACATCTGTTGTGCTAGCTATAGAGATCACTGCAGAATCCGATTTAAAAAAGAAAAAATCTCAACTTTATACAGTTGGTTTATTCTAGAAACTGTCACAGTTTTCTACAAAAATCGGCACTTATTATATCCCATGTTGCTACCTATTATTCGACCTAACTTGATGTCCACATCCCACTCCACATTGGTGGGATTATACATTAAAGCATTAAGATTTACAACCATTTGCCAAGGAATTTGACATCCTTCCCCTCCCTGACACATTTTAGGAGGGAAGTTAAAAGGTTGCTGGTTGGTGCAATTTAGGTATGTTATGTAGTTTGATGAAATTTTATTCTGACGCTTTCTAGCTAGTTTAGGATGTTGTTCTCGTTTTTTATTTTTCATTGTTATCGATTGCAGATTTTATACTTAGACTTTTTTGATAGTATACCAGGATATATGTACACAAGATTAATTCTAGTGCTTTTTCAATGAGAACCTCATATGTACTTTGGACAATAAAGCTTTTTTGAATTTGAATTTGTCCTTGGTCCATAAATTTCAGCTGCTACTCGTTGCTCGGTTTTCGAGGCGTCTATATACCAGACTATTTCTGCCCTTATGGGTGGGCCTTATTTCCATCGGTCTTTTAAAGGTGTTTCGATTGAAAATTCCTTTTCAAAGCTATACTGCGGAGTGCGGCGGTCCGAGGGCATGCCTAGTATTTCATCCTCCTCAATCTCTTTGTAAGTTGTTAATTAACCTTAAAAGGGAGCATTAAATATTGAAAGGGAATATTTAAAGCGTGATTGTAGAGTACGGTTGCGATATCGCTTTTCTTTGAATAACTGTTAGTATTTAATGTCTAACTTGAACAAGAGCTCCGCATTTTACCGCTGCGGAAGAAAAGGATATTTCAAACGTGACTGTAGAGTACAACTGAGATCTCGCTCTTCTTCGATAACTGCCAACCTTCGATTGAGAACTTGCAATGCCGAGCATGCCCAGATCAAGACAAGAAGTGCCTCAAAATTGATCAGCTAGAAAGAATTCCTGTTAGAAGCTTTCGATTGGATGCGGATCAGAAACAGCTGGGAATTGATCTGTTAATTGGTGAGAGAGATTATTTTTCGTCATTATAGACCGTGAGATAGGTTTAGTGGAGTCATTTTTTTTTGTCTGGCATTTTGAGGGATGAATGTGGCTAGTTAGCTGATGAGAATATAGGTGGTTTTAGTGCTTGCCACCTGTTCGAAATGTCCACAGAATGTTTCGACGGAAAACTCGACTTCGAACTGGGATTACCGTCTGGCGATTTTTCAGCGATATTTTCACAACAAAACCTTTCATTCTCTCGATTACCAGACAAAAAGTAAACGCGGAAGGTTCTTTTCTTTTCTCTTGGAAGTTGACACTCATCCCCACTTTTTCAGCTATTGAAAAGCTTCTGGTATTTTTTATGGGTGAATTATTTATCAATGTCAATCTTTTATTTAGAAGCCAAAAAATTTGAGATCATTAAAAAAAAAATTCCTCATGTAAATCAATTTTTTGCTTCTGCAAATTTTCGAACGGGAGGCAGGCATTAAAACCACCCATTTTCTGATCAGCTTAGTAGCCACATTCAGCCCTCAAAATGCCAGACAAAAAAAAATGACTCCACTAAACAGGCCCTATCTCACAGTCTATTAGGGAAGCCGGGGATAGATCAACGAAATGTGAAAAAGAAAAATCCGGCGAGCGAAAAAAGAAAGACCAGGAACAAGAAGATTGGTTGATTATGCCTAGGGCTGATTCAGAAAGGGAAAGTTTTCCTTTAAACGGCCGCTCTGAAATGACATTAAATGAAATATTTATTATTATCAGACTTAAAGATACTTCCAATATAGACTGTTTTAGAAGTTGACAAGTTAAGTATTCCTTGGAAACTGATCTTATCGCAAAACAAGCGGAACTTAATTTTTTTTTGATAAAGAATCGATGTGCGAATCCATTTCAGGGAGTTGTCTATAATGGGGCCCAAAAACTTTACGGAATCAACGACGTCAATAGACCGATCTCCTATTACCTGGACTGCGCGCGCCGCTTGTAGGCTGCAGGTGAGAGTCCAATGAGAAGCAAGTTTCTAACAGGCTTGCGTCATATTCTTATTCAGGGGCCAGTTCAGAATAAATCGTTCCTTCTTTCTTTGTAACGTGTAATTCGACAAAGAGTAAACTAATACTTTACATATTACTTGAACTCACCACAGTGTCGTTTAAGGTTATGTAAGATTATACTTGACATATTACTTTGCAATTTCATTGAGCAATGTTGCCGGATGAAACATTTATCAAAATAAAAGTGCAAACGATGTTTATCCACTTTAAAGCTCTTCTTTTGTTTGATTTAAGGCGTTGTAAAACACTTGACACTATATCACTTCTTTAATGTTATAATGTTCGATTTGTATTGTCTACATTTGTTCTGCAACAATATAATCTGGCTACACTGCAGCCCCCAGTTGCGCGCGCATGTCATCTTTTATTACCTTCTAACTTGTAAAATCTGTTTTTTTTTTAAAGAGAATTTCATACATCTGTCAAAACTGGTATTCCAACGATAAATTGACATGTTTTGATTGTTGATTTGAACCAATCAGATTGTAATTACGCGATAATTTGCACTAGTAAACACTTTAAGGGTATCTCATAAGGTTAACTCTTATTTCTTATTTCTTATTTTATCTTATTTTATTTTATTTGCTGTATAAAT